TTTCTTTCTGCCATTGTTAAAAATTTGCATGCGTGTATGTGTGTGTGTTTTTCACTGGGACCTAATATGTATACTCTTTAGTAATTTTCTTTTTTTCATTTGTCAGCATGTCATGAACTTTTTTTTTTTTTTCTTTTCCTAGAGCAGCTTTCTAGTGTGACTCCAGGGAGAAATAGTAGTCTGGCTTCTTATTGTTGGCTGTTTTCAGCACAGATGGTTAAATGGTTAGATGGTTAAGCAAATGGTTCCATACTTCTTTGCCAGGTGGGACAGGGTGAGATCTCCATTCTAATGACAGGAAATCAAAATCTGCCAGCATATTACTTGCATATCTCCATTAATTGGTCATATTGTTTGGATTTAGCTAATAGTATCTTTGCATTTTGTTGGATTTGATGGGATATCATTGTTTTGTTGTATGTAGAGAATTGCCCAGATCAAAACCCCCGACTCAGGAACTGGGATCCAGGACAAGATTCTGCAAAACAAGTTGTTATCAAGGAAGGAGATATGTTCCGACTGACCTCAGATGTCACAGTGAATTCTATAGTGATTCAGGATGGAGGTATGTACTGGTTGCTGTTTGTATATACTGTAAGGTTGTTCTTTAATGTGGGAGACATTTGATGTTCTTTTTTGTGGCCAACTATTCCTTAAGTTCCATTTGGGATGTGGTATCATTCTAGCCATGTTGTTGTTGTTAGGTGCCGTTGAGTCGGCTCTGACTCATAGTGACCCTGTGTACAACAGAATGAAACACTGACTGGTCCTGCACCTGCCTCACAATCCTTGCTGTGTCTGAGCCCTTCGTTGCAACTACTGTGTCAATCCATCTCATTGAGGGCCTTCCCTTTTTTTTGCTGACCCTCTACTTTATCAAGCATGATTTCCTTTTCTGAGGAATGGTCCCTCCTGGCAACATGATCAAATTAGGTGTGACAAAGTCTGGCCATTGTCACTTGCAAGAACCATTCTGGCTGCACTTCTTCCAGGACAGATTTGTTAGTTCTTTTGGCAGTCCATGATACTGCCAGTATTCTTCGCCAACCACAACTCAAAAGCACCAACTCTTCTTTGGTCTTCCTTATTCACTCAAGCTTTTACATGCATATGAGGCTATTAAAAATACCATAGGTTAGGTGCACCTTAGTCTTCAAAGACACATCTTTGCTCTTCAACACTTTAAAGAATTCTTTTGCAGCAGTTTGCCCAGTGCAATACGATGTCTGATTTCTTGACTTTTGGGGAGCTCTGGTGGTGTAGTGGTTAAGGCATTGGACTGCTAACCAGAAGGCTGGAGGTTCAAATCCACCAGCCACTCCTCAGAAAGAAGATTGGGCAATCTACTTCTGTAGTGATACCACCTCAGAAACCCAAGGAGGGGTCGCTATGAGTTGGATTCAACTCCAAGGCAGTGAGTTTGGTTTGGAGTTTGGCTTCCATTGGTGTTGATTGTGGATCCAAGTAATATGAAATCTTCAGTCTTTTCTCCATTCATCGTGATGCTGCTTATTGGTGTAGTTGTGAGAATTTTCATTCTCTTAACGTTGAGGTGTAATCCATACTGCAGACTGTTGTCTTTAATCTTTATCAGTAAGTACTTCAAGTCATCTTCACTTTCAGCAAGCGAGATTTTGTCATCTGCACATCACAGACTGTTAATGAGTCTTCCTGCAATCTTGGTGCTGCATTCTTCTTCATATAGTCCAGCTTCTCAGATTATTTGCTCAGCATACAAATTGAATAAGTATGGTGAAAGAATACAACCCTTACACACTTCCTTCCTGATTTTAAACCACGTGGTATCCCCTTCCTCTGTTTAAACAACAGACTCCTGATCTATATACAGGTTCCCCATGAGCACAATTAAGCATTCTGGAATTCCCATTCTTTGCAATGCTATCCATAATTTGTATGATCCATACAGCTGAATGCTTTTGCATAGTCAGTGAAACACAAGTAAATATCTCTGGTATTCTTTGCTTTCAGCCAAGATCCATCTGACATCACTGTGATATCCCTTGTCTCACATCCTGTTCTGAATTCAGCTTGCATTTCTGGAAGTTCCCTATCAATATTCTGCTGCAACCATTTTTCTTTTTTTAAATTGTGATTTGGGTGAAAGTTTACAGAGCAAATTCACTTCCCATACAGCAGTTCACATATACTTTGTCTCATGACATTGACTAAAATTTACCCCAATGCAACAGCTCCTCTCCCTGTTTGTCCTGATAGTTACCTCTTCCCTGTGTTCATCCCTCCATGCACTCTGTCCCCTGAGCGCTGCAACCATTTTTGAATTATCTTTAGCAAGATTTTACTTGTGTGTGATATTCATGATATACTGTTCGATAATTTCCACATTCTGTTGGATCACCTTTCTTTGGAGTAGGTACAAGTATTGATCTCTTCCAGTCAGTTGGCCAGGTAGCCGTCTTCCAAATTTCTTGGCACAGACGAGTAAGTGCCTTCAGCATGCCACCCATTTGTTGAAACATCTCAGTGGGCATTTTGTCAATCCCTAGAGCCTTGTTTTTCACCAATTCCTTCTGTGCAACTTTGACTTCTTCCTTCAGTACCATTGGTTCTTGATTATATGACACCTCCTGAAATGGATAAACATTGACCAATACTTTTTGGTACAGTGACTCTGTGTATTCCTTCCATCTTCTCTTGATGTTTCCTGCATCAGTCAGTATTTTGCTTATAGAATCTTTCAGTATTGCAGCTCAAGTCTTGTGTTTTTTCCTCAGTTCTTTCAACTTGAGAAATGCAAAGTGTATTCTTCCCTTTTGGTTTTCTAACTCTGTGTCTTTGCACATCTCATTATAATAAGTGACTTTGTCTTTTTGAGCTCTTCTTTGAAATCTTCTGTTCAGCTCTTTTATCTTATCATTTTTTCTATTGGCTTTAGCTACTTTCCGTTCAGGAGCAAGTTTCAGGATCTGCTGCCATCCATTTTGGTCTATTCTTCCTTTCCTGTCTTTTTAATGACCTTTTGCTTTCTTCATGTATGATGTTCTTAATGTCACCCCACAATTTGTCTGTTTTTTTTTGTCATTGGCATTCATTGTGTCAAATCTATTCTTTCAATGGTCTCTGAATACAAGTGGGATATAATCAAGGTCATTTTGGCTCTTGTGGACTTGTTGTAATTGTCTACAGCTTCAACTTGAACTTGCATGTGAACAGTTGATGGTCTGCTTTACAGTCAGCTTCTGGCCTTGTTTTGGCTGAAGATACTGAGCTTCTCCATTGTCTCTTTACACAGATGTAGTTGATCTGATTCCTGTGAACTCCATTGGGTGAAGTCGACATATATAGCCACTATTTATGTTGTTGAAAAAAGGCATTTGCGATGAATAAGTCATTGGTCTTGCACAATTTTATCATGCTATTGATATCGTTTCTATCACCAAGGCCATATTTTCCAACTGCTGGTGATGCTTCTTTGTTTCCATCGTTTGCATTCCAGTCACCAGTGATAATCAGCACATCTTGATTGCATTCTTGGTCAATTTCAGGCTGCAGAAGTTGGTAAAAACCTTTAATTTCTTCATCTTTGGCTTTAGTGTCTGGTGTGTAAATTTGAATATAGTAGTATTGACTAGTCTTCATTGTAGGCATATGGATGTTATCCTATCTCTGACAACATTATACTTT